AGGCGCTCGTCACCAAGGAGCCGATCGTTACCACAAGAACCGATAAGAAGGGGCAGTCGGCGCTGCAAATGGCGGCAAAAGGGCAGAACCTTGAGGTGGTTGAAGAGCTGATCAGGGCGGATCCATCCTCTATAAATATGGTTGATAATAAGGGCAACACTGCCCTGCATATAGCTGCAAGAAAGGGCAGAGCTGAGGTAATTCAATCAGTATATCCTCTGTTTGCCTTTGCCCTGTTTTTATTTCAATGCCAAATTCTCATGCTTTTTTGCTATAATTTTGGACCCCTTTCGAAGAAATTTCGGGTCGAATTCGGATTTCAGTTTCGTGTTTGTGAACATTGTGAACTGTTAATTGCCATAAGTGAGTTCTAAATAACCTCACGATTTCTTTTAGCAATGGTTTGGTTTCGAGCATTAGGAGAGCATGTGATCTTACCTTCTTTAAGATGAGAGTTGGGAAAGGCCTCTTGACATTACTTTTGGTTTACTGCGTGCAGATTGTTAGAATGCTTCTTAGGCACAGCGAAACGAACACGAAAGCGGTGAACCGGTCGGGAGAGACCGCCCTAGACACGGCGGAGAAAACCGGGAACCCTGACATAGCTCTGATTCTAAAAGAGCATGGTGTGCAGAGTGCCAAAGCAATCAAACCAGAGGTGAAAAACCCTGCAAGGGAATTGAAGCAAACGGTAAGCGACATAAAACATGAAGTTCATTATCAACTAGAACACACTCGGCAGACCCGAAGACGAGTCCAAGGCATAGCGAAACGACTTAACAAAATGCACGCCGAGGGGCTCAACAATGCCATAAATTCAACAACTGTGGTGGCTGTTCTTATAGCCACAGTGGCATTTGCAGCCATATTCACAGTGCCTGGTCAGTATGTGGATGATCCGGAAGATGTCCCGCAGGGCTTCTCGCTCGGGGAAGCAAACATCGCCCCGAAAGCTCCATTTATAGTCTTTTTCATCTTTGATTCGATAGCGCTGTTCATATCTCTAGCAGTTGTGGTGGTTCAAACTTCAGTTGTGGTGATAGAGAGCCAGGCCAAGAAGCAGATGATGGCCATTATAAACAAGCTAATGTGGCTGGCTTGTGTTCTGGTTTCTGTGGCATTTTTGGCGCTGTCGTTCGTGGTGGTCGGAGAGCGGGAGAAGTGGCTGGCGATCGGAGTGACACTCATCGGAACCACCATAATGGCAACCACATTGGGGACAATGTGTTATTGGGTCATCAAACATAGAATTGAAGCATCCAATCTGAGGAGTATAAGGAAATCTTCAATGGGGAGCAGATCCAAATCTTGTTCCCTCTCGGTCATGTCTGATTCTGAGATTCTTAACAATGAGTTCAAGAAAATGTATGCCATTTGAAAGGTTTTTTTTTTTTCACCCACCAGAGTTTTTGGCTTTTGGCAGACAAAAAAAATCTCTGTGTCCGGTTAACTTAGAAAATTGTACACTTTTTGATGGAGATGATCGTACCATCTTCATCTTCTTCAACTGCTTACTGAATGTGACTAATTGAAATTCTCACCCACTCATATACAAATTAAAAACTCTGATTTTGTAAAATGGGATTCTTTTCTCCCTCTCTTTTTTCTCTATTTATTAGCTATAGCCTATAAGTTTGATTTATTTATCAATGGCATCAAAGAATTATAACTCTCTATTTTGCAATGTGTTATTCGTTTTTGTCAGTGTTGCTAGTCTTCAATAACGATATTCTAGCTTTCAGGATCGATTTCTTGTATTTATTTTCTAACAGCAGTTGAAATACGATGAACGTTTCAATGTTCTCAAGTTATTATAATGCCTTTCATGTTTTATTATAACATTGTGTTTGTGTTACCCTTTGTATTCCTTTTCTTGTGTAACTAATACAATTTGTATTCGTATAATTAAGAATTAAAATAAGTTAGAAAAATATGTATGTTTAATAAATTAGTAATTCATAATATCGCCAGAACACATGACATGTCTCAGATATGACAGTTCAGAAATGAGTCACTTGGGTATATAAATTCTAAAAGGCAACCTTTCAATTCCGAAAGGTTATAATTGAAAAATGATAAAACATAAGGGCTTAAATTGAAACTTGTAAAAAAGAAATAAAGGCTAAATTGAAAAGAGACTCAAACATGGAGAACTAAAACAATTAGAATAAATGATATCATTCTCCCTTTTTAAAGTGAAACATATGACCAATAAACGCGATGCAATCAATCTTTTACAAGTAATCAAATATAATTTTTAAAAACAATTTTCCGTAAAAGAAGAAACGTTTTTAGAACAGTTTCCAAACAAGCTCACAAAATGGACTTACATTGGATCGAAGGGAGCTCTCCAACGGTCAACAGCAGGGTCCTACTTTCCTGTGGGTAGGCACAGACTAGGCCATTTGTCAGCTAAATTCAGTGCCATAAGAAGCTTCATTTCTAGACATGCTGGGCTCAATTTAACAATAAATGTAGAAATTATGTGACCGCTCATTACATGATAAACAAACAGAGAAAAATGTTTAATCTAAGCTAATGGATCGTGTAAAATAACAACCGGCTCATTACAATTACAAGGGCCTACATAATTGATTGCAATTACCAAATTGCAAAACATTAATTCTACAAATGGAACTAATGATTACAAGAGAAAAATCCACCAATTACCTTTACATCTAAAGAGGCAAAAAAATAAAACTAATGTTGAGGTAGAGCTGGTCTCTTTTCTAACATCTCGTAGTGCAGGACGAAATTATCCTGAAGCAAATGGACGTAAGCTGAGCAATGGGAATGGGGACAACATAGACCGTAAATAATTTAAAAGAGAGAGAATTGACAAAGTCCAAACCTTGCGGACAGTTTCAAATGTGTGGGGGTCGAAACAGTGATACGATCCTCTCTCGTAAGTGCTCATCTTCACAAGTGGTTCAATGTTAGGGACCCGAATGAACCAGAACCGATGTTCTTTGTGATAAAACCAGCCTCTATTATAACTACCAAAAATAATAATAATCATAATACTGTTGGCAATAGCTCTTAGGAAAAGGTCTACCCAAAAATTACTTTCAATGACTGGTGAATATAACAAGCTGCACAATAGTCAATGATTAGAGCTTACAGTTCATTTGCTGCATACAACTGAGCTTCATCTTTTGGCATACTACAGCAGAACAAGACGGAGCAGAATTATATATTAGTAAAACAATTAATAATTTAAAACGAGGAAACAAAATGCAATATTATTTGATAATATCACACCTGAAGAATATATAGAACAGTGTCTCTAGACTGAACTTTAAGAAGTACCCTTGCTGCAGTCACCCAAGAAATGATCAATTAAGAAGAAACAGTATAAAACTTCACATATACGGGAGGAGGAGGAAAGCTGAAGAAGCTCACATGTAGAGTAGGAGGTGGTTTAATAAGATAACACTGAGGTACATTGAAATCTGGATCGCCCTTAGCAGGCTCATCAGACCAT